CTCTCTCTCTCTCTCTCTGCCACCACCGATTACAATCTCCCTACCAAACACGAACCTAAACACAAACAAACCCATCTCAGTACTGCAACATATCTGCCGAAGCCATGATCGGTTGGCTGAGATATGCCATGTTGAAAGGGTTGTTGAAGAAGTTGCTACTACCCTCGGGCTCAAGGAAGGAGGTTGGAGATGGGCCCGGAGGCCCAAAGACACCATTGGTGGCGTTCAAGAAGTGGTTGATCTCGTTCAGAGACTCTAACCTGTGGCTCAACTCGCTTACCTGTGCTCTCAGCACCGAGTTCTCCGCCTCCACCGCCAAGTACTTCTGGGTGGTGAGGGTCACCGATGTCAGAATCTGGTGATTCTCGCTCCTCAGCTGAGTCACCAGTGATGCCAGATCATCCAAGTGCTTCTGCTTCCTCATTCGGGATCGCCTCGCGGATTCGCGGTTCGATATCATTCTCTTCCTCTTCCTCTCATCCATCACCGCCTGCAGGTCCTCCTCTGAACCCGAATTCTGAAGCAGAGACGACCCTGAAGATGTTCCACTCGACGAAGCCATCCAAACTGACCAACACTTCAATCAAAACGTAAACACACAAGAAAAATCGAACCTTGGATTGGAGGACGCAGGACCCAGACACTTAAAAAACCGAAAAAGAAAAACGCTGATGAAAAATAGTAGTAGTAACAGTAATACAGAAACTATAAATAGAAAGTTTGATTCTGGGTAGAAATCATGAAACGTAGTAGAGCCAGTAGAGGAAGGCAACGGAGAATGATTGAACTAAATGGGTCCTGCGTCTCACAGTGGAATTGATCATACACCCGGAAAAGAAGATTTCACTCAGAATTGGATACATCAATCTCAAACATCAAGAACAAGATGTTGGGCATTTAAGAGCCTTCTTCAAAGTGGATTGTGCAGAACATGGAGAATCAATTTCTGCAGAAGGATTGAGAAGACGTTAAAGAAACGAAAAGGGTGGTGCAAAGATGCAGAGTGGCAAAAATATCTCAAAAGTTAGCTATGAGAAAGAAGGAAGAAAGTGGAAGGGGAGTCTCTACACTTCAATCAACCAATTTATAGAACAAAAAGCTGTCAAAACAAAATTAAGACTTTTTTTTTATTATTTCAAATCAACCAACAAGCCAAAATAACTTTGGTGTCTTTTTCTTTTTCTTTTCTATAATTGTCATGGCGTATGTATAAAAAAGAAAAACATTTGTTTCTGGTTTTATATTAGTTTAATCACTTTTTATTCTTTGTTACAATAATTATTTTAATTTTATCTTATTTTCTTAATATTTTCAATTTGACACAAATAACATATTTAATCATACGAATATCTTACTTTTAATGATTAACTTATATATTAGCCTCTTTTTAAAAATGAAATAGAAAATATTGAAAATAATGAGACGAAATATAGAAAAATAAAAAATATATTTGATAATCAATCACAATATTAAATGTGAAATTTAGACGTCGTAGCAGCGCCATATCGATTGAGACAGTTACTGTGGAAATCCAGCTGGGAACCACATTACAAAAACTCATTCAGCCGAATTGCATTAGCACACAAATATTCTATTTTTAAAAAATAAAAATAAAAAAGCATATATATCTCATTTTCCAATATTTATAAAATTATACATTACCACTTTGCTTTATTTAAAAATAATTCATTTTTATAACAAAAATATATATGTAATATTATAAACAGTTTTACGTCATCAAACATGATGATGTGAACATGTTATATTTTTATCATCACTACTAAAATTATACAAAATCCTTTTATATATAGCTTACTTTTTTTTTACTCATCTAAATAAGTCAAAAAATACATTTGCATAAAATAAATAATTTTCCTAATTTAGATTAAGTTAGTTTGTAATGGAAAAGAAAATAGTAAGATTCTCCACTTCATCAAAGCACACATGACACGTGCTGAGTATTTCTTTCCCGTTTTAATTAAAAAAAGAATTCAAAACCTAAATTACTGTGTTAAGAAAAGCATATCATTGTTATTCATGTTAACTAATCCCTTATATAATTTTTAAATTTTTTATTTTTGTCTTATGATATATTAAGTCAATTTTTTTAAAAGAAACCTATTAAAAACTTTTTATTTTTCTTGAAAACATTTCAAACTTTTTATTAAATTGGGCTTCTAGAAGATCTGACTCTCACTCAGAAAAAAACAAAGAATTAAATGGTGATCTTCTTCCAGTGCTTTTTTTATTGCATGAGTAAGTAGGAACTATTTTAATACTCTACCTTCTCACTGAACTACTTAAATACTGATTTTAGGATTCAATTATAGTTTGACCATAATAAAACTATGAACTATATTTTATAAAGTTGTAATAACGCAAAAACTATACTATATGCTATGACATTAGAAACAAAAAAATGTAATGTTGTTTTATAAGTTTTTAATATTTAAATATATGCAAATGGTTAAGTTAAATAAAAAATAATATATAGANAAACACTGCAAGTGTAACACAGGAAGTACAGTTGCTGCAATAATAGGATGATCTGATATGAGAAGAGCACAGGGCCCGTTCACAGAAGCAGCACCAACAAGCTTACCTACTTTATCATATGATACACATTCATCATTATTCCTCATCGCACTCACTCTCTCTCTCTCTCTCTGCCACCACCGATTACAATCTCCCTACCAAACACGAACCTAAACACAAACAAACCCATCTCAGTACTGCAACATATCTGCCGAAGCCATGATCGGTTGGCTGAGATATGCCATGTTGAAAGGGTTGTTGAAGAAGTTGCTACTACCCTCGGGCTCAAGGAAGGAGGTTGGAGATGGGCCCGGAGGCCCAAAGACACCATTGGTGGCGTTCAAGAAGTGGTTGATCTCGTTCAGAGACTCTAACCTGTGGCTCAACTCGCTTACCTGTGCTCTCAGCACCGAGTTCTCCGCCTCCACCGCCAAGTACTTCTGGGTGGTGAGGGTCACCGATGTCAGAATCTGGTGATTCTCGCTCCTCAGCTGAGTCACCAGTG